TGTTCAAAATGGGGAGGACCTCTAGCCTGACCATCGACCTTCTCTTTAATGACCTAATCCTCATGTGATAATTCAGACTCTTGAGAAATATGTTAAGATATCTTGTATGACATCTTGGTTGTTGTTTCTTCTTTATACACAATGACTTTATTAATCTCGAGGTCTTGCAAACAATTGGTGTCTTTCTTAGATATTATCTTCATAAGAACTTCTTTACCTTTGATGTTGATAAAATGTTTAAACTTATTGAAATTCATATTCCTCTTTTGATCACATAGTTTGTTCATATTGGTAGATAAGATTTTTCTTAGAAGAATCTCTTCTTAACCAAGATTAACCAATTTCCTTGAACCCTTGATTCTTACCTTTTCTTGATTTCCATGAGCTATATTATCTTTAGCCATGTGCCTGGAATTTTCACTATAAAATACCAACCTTTACTTGAGGAACTTCTGTGTTCTAAGTGAGCTATGAATCTAGTTGATGTAGCATTGGATTTCAACTTCTTCTTATCATAGACTTCCTCGCATCCTATGATCTTTAACTTAAGCCATTGGAAAAATAAGGCCTTTTGTGTCCATATTTACCACAATGGTGGCATATCAGAAGTTGTTTCTTGTTGTGATGGGGTAATACATGTTGTGCACGATGTTGTGACATGTGATCCAACCTTAGCCTTCTCTTTAGGAATAACAATCTTCATTGGGAGAATCTTCTTGTTTTTATCTTTCATGCTCATTCAAACATTGATTCCCTTCACATATCTGGGCAACTCACCAAACTTTATTTTTTTCATCACATAAATTTGAACTATTCATCAAGCTATTTTCAAAATGAGACATGTTTTCTAGTTGGGTGTTTAGTGATGAAATATCCTTCTCTACACCTGTGATGGTTGAGGCAAGCTTATATGTTTTTTTCTTGAAGTACTCATGTATCTTCTGATTATCTATGGTTATGCACACTTCTTCCAATTTGGAGAATAAAAGCATGTATATTGTATTATGATCTTCTTCAGATAGATCTTCTGTATTGAGTTGACCATCAGATTCACATCGACTAGAATAATGTTGGACCTTTTGTCTTGGGCATTTGTCCCCCACTTTCTATTCAGATATTTCTAGGAATTGTTGAACTTTTTACTCGGGAGATTTATATCATCTAACAGGTTCTCTTCTATATTCTCTTGAATTTCTTCAGTATTGGAAACAAATTTTATCCATTTGTTCTTCTTTTCATTCATTTCATTTATGGACATCTCAAAGGTTTGGAGGGAACCAATGAGTTCATCAACATTTATACTACTCAAGTCTTGAGTTTCTTCAATAGCAGTCATTTTCATATCAAACCTTTTAGGTATTGACCTGAGAATTTTTCTGGGAAGCTTTTCTTCATACATCTTTTCTATAAAGGTAAAATAGGTGTTGGGAATATCATGTAATCTAATGTGCAATGCACATATTGATTCTTCTTCATTCATCCTCAGATTCTCAAACTTAATGGTAAGTAGTTGCAACCTTAACATACAAACTTTGGATGTGCCTTTACGCGTAGTATTGATCAATATGAACATGTCATTATCCTTACAATTAAAGATAAATTCAAAGCCTCGGGGCTTCCAAGAGCTTTCTCATCTTCAGCATCAGTCCATTCAGCTTCTAGTATTAAACTTGTACTTCCATCTTCAAAAGTGATCATTGTATGTTTCTATCATTTTATCACAACTTTCCATGCTTTGTTGCCTATGGATTTAGAAACAACACCATCATTGCCTTCCAATAATCATAATTGGTGCCATTTAAGACAATTAGTTTGTTGATTGATCCTCTATCTTAAATTGTCTTCATTTGAGCAGAACTTATCTTTCTTGCAGCTCACCCAACATGCTAGGGTGCCTTCTCTGATTCCAATTGAAATTTAGTTCCTTATGGGACAAATGTCGAACATAATGTTTTGAAATTTTATTCCTCAGAAGACAGATGTCAAACACAATGTCCTAGACCACTAGTTCGGCAAGTTAAACCAGAAACACTAAAATGAAAAGTACTAGATGATGTAGAAGAAAAGTAGTAAATAACACGATAGTTGTTTACCCAAATCGGCAAAACCACACCTACGTCTAAGGGGTTGAGTCTGCAATCCATGAAACAAAATTAACTATTAGTAACTTAGTACAATTATTCTTACAAGTAACAACAAACCCTATGTTATTCAATGCATCTTCCTAACATTACCCAATGACTTTCTATTTAGGGCTCCCCTTAAACATGAGAGCCTGCTCATTTTCTTCTCAATCACATAACCCGTGATTGAAGATTAAAACTCAATAATCAATGTTGAATACTACCACTCAACTTTAGACAAACCTTCTATTCCAAGTTACTAAAACATAGAGGTGTACATACAACAATAATAGGACTCAAAATAAACCCTAACACTCTAATATATTCAATGTATTGGCTGACTTCTAATGTAGGTTTTGAGCTCCTTATATAGCATAATAATTATGGGGTCTTCTTCATGGATTTGAGATTTGATTTCGTCTAGAAGTAATGCAGAATCTGTTGGACATTATTTATTCCATAAATATCTCCAACAAAATAAGATTTGCCTCAATTAAAATTAAAATTTAAATATTTATTTAAATATGAGTCAATATTTGTCCAAGTGTCAAAAAAAGCACCTAATCATATTGCTAGATAAAAGTAAAATATAATTGAACGATCTCAAAAGATTCATTCAAAATGCAACAATCTGACACCTGTTGAGTAAGGCCCAGATGTCGTACCAACATGTTAGAGCATCACGTCCAGCATGTATCTCTTATACAACTTAAGCAAGATAGACTAGTCTTGAACACTTGGATACTTCTCCATGTTGTTGTTTTTCTAAATGTATCTAATCCAATAGAAAATGCATGTTTACAACTGGTATTATTTTCTCTCTTGTCTTTGCTGGACGATGAAACATCTTGTTCTCGTGTAATCCCTCCCAAGAAAGTGATACTTAGAAAGGGAAGGTTGAAACCATGGAAATTAAGTGTGTTAATCTTCATAAGAAGCTTGTTGCAATGTAGAAAGAAGTTAAAGTTGTCAAATTTTTGCAAAAGGTTGCACAAATACACGGTTCTCCTTCCTGTTTTGGAAGTTCTTGTAAAGCGGTGAAAGGGTGCTTCTGGTTTTGTTGAGGAGAAAACTCGTCAGGTGGAAGAGCATCAGAAAAAATTTCTCTATGAGATTGAGGTCCATGCAAAGGCCTTGAAAGCTCTCCAAGACGAGGTGGTTGATCTGAAATGAAGGCTTTATGACTCTCTTGAGCGGACTGTGCGAGATGTGCCCGGAGTCCACGAGCGAGTTATAGAACATACGAGGAAGTTGTGCCTCGATGCTGTAATTTATTTTGAGATGCTACACCCATTCAAGTCCGCTTCAAGGGTAACTCAAGGTGGTGGTCCCGGTGCCTAGATTTAGATTCTTAGGTTTTATTTTTCTTTCCTTGTACCGAAGTTTATTTCCTGCAATACTTCCAAGGCTTTTGTGCCTTAAATGTAATAGTATTTAATTTTTGAAGGAAGTATTTTACCTTGATAATTTAAGTGTTTTCACTTTAGAGGTTTATGCTTGTGTTTGCTTTATGATTATTGTCGTTTACGAATTTTGTGACTCTAAGGCTTGCTCTTTTACCCAATAAAGTCTTTATTTACTTCAGAGTTCATCTTGGGTCAGCAATGTTAATCGGCTACGACATGATATATGTTTTGGTCCTCAAAAACTTAACTACCCGCTTTATGGAGGAAACCATGCATTTGATTGTGACGAAGTGGCGAACGTGCCTCTAGCATTTTTCTTAGAAGAATCTCTAAAGTAGATTTATTTTTGATTTGGTTCGGTTTTAGATAATAGGTTAAAAAAGTTTGATTCGATCCGATTCAATTTCATGTTGTTGGATTTGGATCCGTTTTTTGGATATCCAAATTAAAAATCATATCTTTTATTAATATTATAAAAGTAATGATAAATAATAAATTTGATATTATCATATACTAAATTAAAAGTTAATATTACAAAATAATAAGGATTTTTTATAGTTGAAACAAATAAAGTAATAAAAATAAATAAATTAAATAAACTAAAAAAATAGTATTTAAAAAAAAGTATAATACAACATTAAATTAATATAACATATCATACTAATATAAAATATATAAGTTTAAATATATATACATGCAATTCGGTTTGATTTAGATCGGTTTTGAAAAATCAATCTAAAATCTAATCTGAATTTTGAGATTTTTATAAAATGACATCTAAATATATTCAATAATTTTTTATTTTATTTTTGCAATTCTCAACATTTTCAAATTGATTTGCTGTTTTTATTTGAATTGATTTAAATTTGAAACCCCCTATAGCTCAACTAATATATAATTGAGTTAAATGACTATAAATTATTACTTCAGGTTTCAATCTCAAGTTTCTTTATATTTTTTCTATTATGTACTAATATATACAAGTTTTAAATCACTCATTTAAAAAAAAGAAAAAAAAATACTATATTGTCGTACAATTTAATTTTTAAAATGCATTTTTATCAAACTAATAAATAAGTTATTTTTCTCAATAAATAGAATAAATTTTTTTTTTATAAAAACCAAAAATAAAACAGTTCTATAACACCAAATTAGAACTCAAGATCTTAAAGATCTTTAAAGTTCATACTAATATCAGAGATTATTCGGAGGCCTTTTTTCCTTAACCATTAAACTTTATGATAGACATATATGCAGCCATAAATATTTTGATTTCAAAATAATTTTATTTAAAGAAAACTCATAAATGTTTATCCGAAAAAAAATGTGAAACGTTTATAAAAAAAATAAAAATCTAAAGTAACGGGGTAGCACTCTTATTTGATTGAAGGTGAAATCACACTATATAAACCACACAAGAACACGAAACCAAACAAGGGAAACTCTGGTTTTCTAAGTTTTGATTTTGAAGATGTCGATACTCTCAGATTTAATAAACATTAATCTCTCAGAAACCTCCGAGAAGATCATAGCTGAATACATATGGTACGTTCAATCACAAACTATGTTTTCTTCTGTAACCTTAATCTCTCCGAAACCTTAATCTCTCCAAAACCATCGTTTTCATTCCTATGGAGTATTTATTTATACATGCATTCATTTATTTACTCATGTAGGAACGTTTTTTCTCAAATAATTTTCATTATGAGTTTAATTTTTTTGTTCATTTTCCATTCGATCAATCTCTTATTGTTTTCTATGTTTTTAAATTCATCCTTGTAATTTTCTATGCTTTTTAGGTTAAGTAGTTGTTATAGTAAATGTTTTCTTTAGGCATGATTTCCTCAAACCCTTATTTTCTCATTCTAGTTTGTTTCTCATTTTGTTTACCAAATTATCACACTCCACGTTCACATAAAAGTGCTATGTTTACCTATGCATGTAACTTCTTTTTCTGTATTTTTGTAGAATTTTTCCAACTCTTAACCCTTTTATTTTTGCACTATTGTAGGATCGGTGGATCTGGAATAGACATGAGAAGTAAAGCAAGGGTAATTAATTTCCTTCACAATTATGCAACCAAAATGACAAATTCATTTTCACTTTATGGCAGATTTATTCTTTATTATTTTAAACATTATGACACATTTATGAAAATCATTTTCCATAATGTGATTTAACTTTTTCAATTTAACTTACACATGGTTTTGAATATAGACTCTCCCTGGACCAGTTGATGATCCTTCTAAGCTTCCCAAGTGGACATATGATGGTTCCAGCTGTGGTCAAGCTTCCGGAGAAGATAGTGAAGTGGTCTTACAGTAAGCTTCTCTTCTTTTCTTATTTTCTTTCAATATTTCATAAACTTTTGTAATTAATATTATTTATTTATACAACAGTCCTCAAGCAATTTTCAAGGATCCATTCAGGAGGGGTAACAATATCCTGGTACATGTTTCGAAACCCTAGATAGATCTGTTGTGATTCATCTGAGACAAATATTTTATGAGACCATATTTAGTCACGAAAGTTGAACTCGTGATTTTAGGTTATGTGCGATACTTACAATCCTCATGGCGAACCCCTTGCGAGTAACAAAAGACATGCTGCAGCAAAGATATTCAGCCACCCTGATGTAGCTGCTGAAGAACCATGGTATGGTATTGAGCAAGAATACACCTTGATGCAAAAAGATAGTCCATGGCCTTATGGATGGCCCGTTGGTGGTTTTCCTGGACCTCAGGGACCATACTATTGTGGCCTTGGCGCTGACAAGGCTTTCGGGCGTGACATTGTCGACGCGCATTACAAAGCGTGTCTTTATGCTGGCATTACCATAAGTGGTATCAACGCAGAAGTTATGCCTAGCCAGTGGGAGTTTCAAGTTGGTCCTGCTCTTGGAATCTCCGCTGGTGACGAGATTTGGGTGGCGCGTTATCTTCTGGAGAGGATCACCGAGACTGCGGGAGCTGTTTTATCTTTGGATCCTAAACCAGTGAAGGGTGATTGGAATGGTGCTGGTGCTCACACGAACTATAGTACGAAATCGATGAGAAACGACGGTGGCTATGAAGTGATTAAGAAAGCGATTTCGAACTTGGAGAAGAAACACAAAGAGCATATTTGTGCTTATGGAGAAGGCAATGAAAGACGTTTGACAGGAAAACATGAAACTGCTGACATCCATTCGTTCAAATGGGGCGTTGCGAATCGCGGTGCTTCTGTTCGGGTAGGAAGGGACACTGAGAGAGCAGGGAAGGGTTACTTTGAGGACAGAAGGCCTGCTTCTAACATGGATCCATATATTGTTACTTCCATGATTGCAGAGACAACCATTCTCTGGAAACCATGAACAGCTTTGGATTTGGAGTAATCATCAGCACATTTGGATTTAGTTGTTTCTTAATTATCATGTTATTGTTAGTACTAAGTTGTGGTTTCTTCGTTTTTATCAGTTTGTTTGTTTTTTAGAATCTGTGTGTGAAGTCTTGTTTTGACTCGCATGATGTTTGATTAAGGACTTGTTTGTTTGTGTTTTTGGCTAGTTTGAATGAGTGATTTGTTCTACTATGTTGCTACTTGTTATGTTAAGTTTTTATGAAGCTTCTCGTAAATTTGTCTTCGAACAATTTGTTGTGGTAATTCATACATTTGAAATCATGTATAATTCTTAAGAAATGGTTGCTTTAAAATTTTAAGAACATAGTGAATTTTATGTATTTTTAAATTAAAACTAAACTTCTCCTACTCTTCCATTTTGAATTTAAACAAAAATATTTAATTTTTTATTTATTAAAAAAAGTTAGTTAACTGTAATTTTTTTCATCAAATTAAAAAAGCGTATATGAACGTTGAGTTAAATCAGGGTAAGTTTTCGATTTATTATTCTATCTTTAGCAGCATCATTTATTATGTATTAATGTAAAAAAGTTAATTGATATTTATAAATCAATATTTTTTTTAAAAATAAAACTTATATTAATTGAATTGCATATCAATATAAATGCAAAACCTTTAATTATCAGTATTATTTATTTTCGGAGGTAATTTGGATCCTCTCATTTTTTATATATTCTGCCATCTCTTATGTTTTTAATCTAACGGTTCAGAATTTATAATGAATAATTAAATAAAAAAAGTCATTTAATAGGAGAGAGAAATGGATAAGTAATGTGTCTTTGTTATTTATGGTTGTAGTGACTATTAAATGATTTTTTTTATTTAATTATTCATTATAAATTCTGAACCGTTAGATTAAAAACATGAGAGATGACACGATATATAAAAAAGGAGAGGATCCAAATCCATTCTTTTTGTTCACATATAAGATATGAAATGTGATGGTGAATTATGCTGAAGGTCTTAATGTCATGTTTTGTTCCAACGATAGAGGTATTCCAAACCCTACGTTAAAGTTAGTGATTGTTGAATGTGAGAGGTTTTTAGAATTAATGTTTATCTTGATGTAACACAATAGTTTGACTTTTAAATTAGATTTTAGGATTTTTAAGAACCTATAAATTTTTGTAGGATAAGACTGATCCATAGGATCCTTTAAGGTATGATCTGACAGATATGCTCCTTCTAGTTGCCTTAGTTAGGGGTGGACACGGATCGGGTTCGGTCAGGATTGGTTTCAAAATTTCAATCCGATGGCCACCCGCGGTTGATTAAATGAAACCCACTTCCGACCATTTTTTCAACGGTTAAGTCGGGTGGTTGGTGTTTCGGATGATGGGTTGATCGGTTCGGATAGTTCGGTTTCTCATCCTGTTGATAAAAAAAATACATCCAGTAAAACCACACAAAAACTAGAGAAATAGATAAAAAAAAATATACAGAAAACTCCACAAATATGAAATGATTTAAGAAATTGATAGAGAAATATACAGAAAACTCCACAAATATAAAATGATTTAAGATTGATAATGTGTATATAAGAAGAATAAGTATTTACAAACAATAAAATTAAACATCAATAAGGATAATAATGAATGAAAAAAAGAAAATATAAGGAATAAGTTGTAAAAGTTATGGTGGTGGTGGTGAACAAATTTGTGAGAAAGAAGATGGTTTGTCAAGAAGAGGAAAAACAATTTCCGGTTAAAACAAACACATCAATAAAAATAATATAATATTATTAAGTTTTTAAGTTAAAAAATTAAATGAGTGAGATATTGATAGATTTGACCTATGATAAAGTTATGTTGAAGGCTATATCTAAAAGTTATATTAATTTTTCATATTTTTCTGACACGTCACGTTCTCTCTATAGTATAAATATATTAAAGTGAAACTAATAGATTTACATATTGAATCGGTCGGTCTCGGATTTAATTGGATAAATATTTGACATCCATTTCCGACCAATTATACCTATGCTAAACTGGAAAAAAACAACCGATGGATCCATGACCGGATTTAATCCGTCCGAATGCTTGCGGTTCTTATTGGTTGGATCGGGTTTCGTTCGTTTCAACATTTTATGTCCACCCCTAGCCTTAGTTAGATGTCATTCTAGGGCATGTTCATTTTAGCTTTTGCGGTACTAGAAATTCTTTATAGATAACTGTTTTGAAGGATTGACAATATTAATTTGGTGTTATAGGTGTGATGTCAATATCCCCAGATAATCAAATTTTACGACCTTTATCACCTTATCATTATCTATCTTCTACATTGCCAAAGTAGGGTCATTTCATGGTCCTTAATATTTCTACTTCATTCACAGTGCAAATCTTATAGGGAATCTCGCAGGGTATGTTGGACGGATATAACAAACCTTATTCCTTACAAAAACAGTAGCCCATAAGCTAGAGGTGATAAAGTCGGGTTGTAGTTTGTTCATAATTCCTTCATGGGGGGATTTATCTTGGGTGGTGGGGTAAGCTCTAGAGGCCAATAATTTTATTATAATTTAATACTTGTATCAAATTATCTAGACAAAATAACTTTTTTCGTCCCTTAACTTTAGCTTGGGTCCAGTTTGGTCCTTTATCTTTAAAAAGTGTCAAGTTGGTCCTTTAACTTTTAAAATGGTGTCACGTTTATCTTTCCGTTTGTTGCCGTTAGTCAAACTTTGAAAAAAAATGTCACGTTTGTCCAAGTGGAGCTGCTAACGTGGATATGATTAGACACGATACATAAAAAAAAACAATCCAATGTTTCCATTACCCAGAAGAATGCATGATACATAGAAACACAATCCAACGTTTCCATTACCCAGAAGAAGGCATGATACATAGAAAAACAATCCAACGTTTCCACTACCCAGAAGAAGGCACGATACAACGTTTAGAGAATTCATTGAATCATTGAAGAAGATTCAAGGTTTGCAGATGCGAAGGTTTGAGGGAGGAGGATTCAAGACGCGAAGGAGACATAATCAAAAGGTTAGTTCATTTGTCTCTATTTTAGGGTTTTCTGCTAGAGGTTCAGATTAGGGGTTTATGTAAATTTATTAGTGTAAACTCTAATTATTTAGATGATATGATTATGTATCATGGATGAATACATAACTCTCAAAATTCATCATAGTGGTGAGTTCACAGATGAAGGTCGTAGTGTATATGAGAATGGAGTAGTAGATGATTTGAGAGTAGACGTAGACAGATGGAGTTATTTTGAGCTAGTTGGTGTATTGAAAGACTTAGGTTATAGGGAGTTTGAAACAATATTTTACAAGGACCTTCAATTTGGGATGAATCCACTTGTTGATGACAATGGTGCTTTAGAAATTGCAGATTTGTATAGGGTGCACCAAAATGTTCATATTTATATTGAACATGCATTGTCTCAACCTGACTATTGTGATGTTGTTGATGATGAAGTTGATGAGGACCCTGCTGAAATTGTAGATGAGGTAGAGGAGTTACCTAGTCAACTGCATGATGAAGTTGTGGAAGTTGAATAAACCACTGTTGGGTTGGAGGAAGGTGATGTTAGAGTTGATGAAGCCACTGTTGGGTTGGAGGAAGGTGATGTTAGAGTTGATGAAGCCACTGCTGGGTTGGAGGAAGGTAATGTTGGAGTTGATCAAGGGAATCCTGTAGTGGATGAACATACTGTTGGTGTAACACCCCACTTCCCAAATTAAATAAAATATAAACATTATAAATAAACATCAGAGTTTTCACAAAAACAGTGGGATATCACATCACCAATAGTTATCAAAAATACTTTATTCATTATTTTCAAAATAATACAGCGGAAATTATTATTCCAACATTCTCGGCCATCCGCCAGATTTACATAAAATCTTTATTATTATAATTCACCAAAATGTGATACATCACAGGATTTTCAACAAGTTTAACATAAACAAATAAAACACCCATATCCCGTGTTACGTATCAGAGCATCTTAAGACTCGACTTGCACACCGCTATCCAAGCTATCTATGTACCTGGATTATCTGTACTTCCGAGGAAGCACAGACCACAACAACAACAAAGGGGTGAGAAAACATGATCAAAATATATCGGTAATTTAATACATGCAATAAAGGTAGTAAAACACACCAATATTCACCCCATCAACACCAATCACGAACCTACTGTTCAAACATCCATATAACATATAATAATGCAATATGCCACACAACACCATGCATGCGGTACCGACTCATTGGTTCATTCAATCGAACCTTGGACAGATCACTTACGCTCCTGCTGAGATATGATCTATCCCCCACCATTCTCCATGAAGGAGTACGGATGAATCACTTACGCTCCTCTTGAGATATGATTCATCCCACCAAAACACCATGATATGCACAACATCAATGCACAACTATTATATTCAGGCACACAAAGTGCACACGATCCTCCTGATCACATCACCACACATTATATATATTACACCACCAATAAACACAAGCACACTAAGTGCACAACAATTAAACTCAAGTAAATAATCAATAAATCATTTCAATCGATCCATGGTTTAGTTACTATTTAATTAAACAATGACTCCCCAAAAATATTGGATATAAAATTTTTTGTCAAATAACTATATTATTTATACCATGTTATAGATCTATTCAAGAGATTTCCAACGCTTTGAACGGGGACTAAATCCGACTTACGGATCAAAAGTTATGGCCAAAATCGTCAAAACAGAAAATTCACCAATATACAGCTTTGAGTCGACGCAAACAGCGCAGAATGCAGAAAATTCTGTGTTTTCCACCGTTGGAGGCCTTTCGGACCTCCGATTTCAATTCCGTAAAAAGCCCCGGTTTCAGAATTCGAAATGCTACCATAATAAGTCAATTATAACAGCCAACAACATATTTTTAAAGATCATATCATCATATATCATATAACCATACTTTTCAACACCATGGAATTT